CCCGCGCCAAATTCACATGTAGAAGTCCTAACCCTCAGCACCTTAGAATATGACTGTATTTGGAGATCGGGCTTTTAAAGAGGAAATTAAGGCTAAATGAGGTCATTGGGTGGGTCCTAATCCAATATGACTGGTGTCCTTAGGAAAGGAGACACCAGGGACATGCACGGAGCCAAGGCCATGTGAGGCCACAGTGAGAAAATGACCATCTGCAAGCCCAGCAGAGAGGGCTTGGAAGGAATCAAACTCGCTGACACCTTGATTTTGGACTCGCAGCCTCCAGAACTGTTAAGAAAATACATATCTGTGGTATAAGCCGCCCAGTCTCTTGTATTTTGTCACAGCAGCCCTAGAAAACTGACACAACCTACCCTAACAACCCACAGCTGCCCAGGAGGAGCTCCAGGCGCTGTAATGATGAACTGGAGCTGGACCTGGACCAGGATGGAGGTCTCAGTAACAGGAAGCCGACAGCGGGGGTGCCCCAAGACTCGGGGAACGCCGCAGGGCGGGTATGCTGTTTCCCAAGCTCTACGCAGGGTTGTCAGCAGCCTCTGCAGGCTGGCCCAGCCAGACAGCGAGCCTCCGGATCCTGGAGCTAACGAGCGTGGCCTCCTCTGCTTACGCACCTCCATGAGCCCCTCCAAGCTCCAGAATCCTCATCTAAAAAGGTGGTAACTGAACTTGTCCAGTGTTATTGTGAGGATTCCATGGAAAGTCTTGGGACAGAGCCTGACATGAAGCAAACAGTCATGTCTTTACAACAGATAAAAGACTAGCCCAGTCCCAGGGCCCAGGCACAGCAGGAGAATCCAAGATGCAGACAGTACCTGGGCAGGTGGTCCTGTAGCAAGTGGCCGGGTGGCTCACGAACACTCTCTTCCAGCTACAATCCAAGGAAACAAAGGGTAGAGATCAAAGGTTTAACAGGAGGGCAGACACCAGGAAGGTTACTTAAAACACAAAGCAGATATAAAAATTCCAACGCAGAAGTGGGTCAAGAAAGACATTCTTTCCTGATTCCGCCCCAGCTTCTGTCTGCACATAGAGTAGGGAATGTTTCCAACTACCCAGAGACAATTTTTAAAAAGATAAAAGGTAAGTTGGCTATCATGTCTGAAGTTGGAGATAATCTGTGTTCCAAACTCTGAATGGTGAGAACAGTTTTCTATTACAAGTTCCTTCCTGCGGCCAGCACAAGGCAGGGGGTAGGGGGTAGGAAACACTCAGAATTAGTCAACTGGATTCTGGCTGTGTGACCCCAGGCAAATTACTTTCCTTCTCTGGTCTTCAGTTCCTTCTTCTATACAGTAACTCTATCTGTAGGTTTCAACTGCATTCCCTGGAGCCTCAATGGAGAGGGAAGGAGACTGGCCACAGCCCTGCCCCTTCACCCTGGATGTGATTTTTCTGGCCTGCACAAGTGTCCATCTGAGGCTGACCGCTCAAGATCATTTTCAGACCACTGGACTTGAGTTACCTCGAGTCCACAGCCACCTGAAGAGACAGTTATCTCCACCTTCCAGATGCAGATATGGGCTCAGAGGGCTGAAATAGGTCGCCCAAAGTCATGCAGTTACTAGAGTCCAGCAGAGCTGGGATCCGGACCCCACCATCTGACTCCAGAGCCCCGGCATGCAGCCCCCTCGGCCTGGGTCTGTGGGATGATGGCTGGCCTCAGCAGGAGCAGAAAGCCCTCCTCTTGGCTTGCAGCAGCTCCAGGTATGCACCCAAGGACATTCTCCTCTTTGGGCTGTGGCAAAGGTTCTCTAACGTTTTCCAAAGAGGAATTCTTCCTGGAGACCTCACCCTGGGTTGCCCACCATGGGGGCAGGCTAATGGGCTCACTTCTAGAACCTACCCTGAAGCAAAACAAGCACTGAAGATAAAAGCAGCACTTGGACACATTCACCGGGGAGCAAAGAGCCTCCTTTCACTTGGAAGCTCAGGTTCCGAGAGCATCTCCAGTGGCCTCTGATTTGGCATGAGCCCCCATTTCCTCTGAACCAGGTGTGGGCCACAGCTCTTCCCTGCCAAGACAGCCTCCGGACTCTCCAGCGGCCTGCAAGGCCCTCACGCTCTCGGCCAGTCCATCTCATCACTGTGCATGATCTGATCTCATTGGGGGGCAAGCCAAGGGGCAAAGACACAGCTGGTTCAGACGCCACCTGGCCCTCCGGACAGGGCGCAGGACAGCTCACCAGTGCTGGCCAGGCACTGCCCTGGAGGTGGTGTGGACAGAGTGCTGCAGGACAGTCCAGGGATTTGTGAGAGACAGACTGCCGGCTGGGCAGCAGGTGCTCTAGGACACCTGAGCCCCGGTCCTGAAGATCCAAGCAACCCCCACGGCCTCCACACTGGAATTCATCCAAGATCTTAAGCCTCTTGCCTCACCAGGTCCCATAAATGTGGAAACTGGTGCACAGAGGAACCAAGTTACCAGGTCACCATCCCACATGCAGAGCAGTGCCCGGTAAGACCAGCCTCTGGCTCACTGACCAGCCTCCTGAATGGCTGTGACCCTGCCACCCTCGCTCACCTAGGCGCCTAGGTGGTGTGTCAGTGAGACTCTGACCCACCCAACGCCCTAGGAGCTCTGTCCCTAGCTCCCTTCCAGTACTCCTCCAAACCCTGCAGCTCCTGAGCGCTTGGCCTTGGGGAACTCCAGCCCCACCCAGGCTGTGCCCTTGAGCTCTGACCCCAGACCATATGGACAAACCTGAAGAAAGGACAGGGCGCAGCCAGCACACCATCGGTCCCCCGGGATCCTCTCCAGCACAGGGCGTTGCCGACAAGCTCCCTGACTGTCTCCAGTGTCTTGCGCTCGCAGGGGTGAGGCTGGACCTTGCAGTCTGTGTCCACAGCACACACCGGATAGAGAAGGCAGGGTTATGCCTTCCCCCGCTGTGGCTCTACCACCCTCAGCCCTGGCTGCTGCCTTCTGCCTCTCAGGCAGGGCACACTGGGAGGGGCCCTGCTCTGCCCCTTGCTGAGGGGCCAGTCTCTGAGCATCTCCTCCGCACAGGCCCTGCTCTGCCCCTTGCTGAGGGGCCAGTCTCTGAGCATCTCCTCCGCACAGGCCCCGCCCTGTACAGCTTTTACATCCCATGCACACATGTATGTTTTCTATAACATACCTCACTCTAGCTCCTGGGAGGATCCTGACAAAAACAACTACAAATGCAGAGATCTCACCCCAAACTGACGTGTCCAGGTGCTGACCACAGCAGGCAAGCTGACCTGGCTCTTCCTCCCGAGCAGGGCACAGGTACAGGGGCCCCACGTGCTCCCAAGCCCTGGGCCCCTTCCCCCCACAGAGACAAGCTCAGGAGTCCAGTTGAGAAACCCACAGGGACTCGCACAGGGAGGCAGAACACAGCAGAGAGCCCCGGGGCCAACGCTGCTGGACCCCGTTCCTCTCACCACCCCTCCCTGGGGAGGCTCTTGAGTCCTGACCTCAGACTAGGGGGACCCTCCCCATCCCACACCCCACTTCCATAAGGGCAAGCCCGCTCCTTGCCAGTCTGGAAGGCCTTACCTGGAGAGGCGAAGGTACAGATGTCGGAGCTGCTAAGTCTGCTCAAGAGGCCGTTGGTGGCGTCTTCCACCTGCTCAGCCATCAGCACGTGCTGCTCCCTGGGCTCACTGGCCAGCATGTGCAGCTCCTCCCACCTGGGCCCCAGCCCCAGCAGAGAAGTTATACTGCCTTGTCACTCCAAACCCTGCTCAAAACCCTCCAAAGACTTCCCAACCTACTCACAACTAACTCCAAAGTGTAGTATGACTCACAAAGTCTCTAGACCTGACTTCTGCCCCTCTCCTATACTTTACCTCTTGTAATTCGCTCCTTGTTTGCTGGGCTCCAGCCACTCCCTGGCTGTCTTGCTGTTCCTATCACACACTAAGCTACCTATGACCACAGGGCCTTTGCACTTGCCATCCACCTGCCTTACCTGTTGTTTCTGCTCAAAAATGAACTCCTCAGAGAAGCCTTGAGAGACCACAAAGTCTCTAAAATAGCTCTCTTCTCTGTATCCCATCAAACTGTAACCTCTTACCCCACTTTGTTTTTCTCCTTTGCATTTTATTTCCACCTGAAGTTATATCACTTTATTATTAATTCACTGAAGTTTTAGTTCCTTTCCTAGAATGGAAGCTCTATGAGGGCAGGACCTTTGTACTGTTGTTTCTGTATCCCCAGAGCCTAGACTCATGCCTGGCATGAGAAAGACAACCTATATTTATTGATTGAGAGAATAAATAATGCACTAAAATGAATAAAGGGATTTCTATGACCAGGCATGGTGCCCAGACCACAGTCATTTCACTTAATATCCACAAACAACTAGGCTTCCATTGAGGACCTGAATCTCCCTCTCCCCTAAAAAGGCATATTCCAGCATCCAGAGAAATGTGGTTGGAGAACGGCAGCCAGTCACCCCATTGCCCAGGCTAATCAGAATTCTTTCTCAGATTATTCAACTTGAAACTGGGGAAGTGAGTCTTTTCTCCCCAGGGTGGAGCTGGGTGCTGCCTGCAGCCACAGTTCCAGCTCCTGAAAGCACCTGGCTGAGACAGGAGAGATGCACAGTGGGGGGGACTGACACAGAATCTCAATGGCGTTTAAGTCCCTGCTCCTCCTGCTCACCCCGAGGGACCCCTGACCCACCCGGCGCAGTTAGATGAGTCCATGAATTTCCATTTCTGCCCAAATAAATTTGAGTTCCTGGAACTTAAAACCAAGCATTTAGACTGAAGTAAAGACAAAGTCTCAGGTTTGCAGATTCGGAGCTCCCCGTGTTCTGGCAACATGACAAGTGAAGAAAAGACCGATCCTGCGAGAACCAGCTTGGTGTTCCTGCCACCCCTCTCCCATGGCTGTGAAGTCTCCCGACCGCACCACGGTCCCCAGGCTGACTCACAGGGCTTACCCAGAGTGGCCAAGCCTCTTACCTGGGAAAGCGCACCCCCACGGCAAACACAGTGACCCCTCTTTCCTGCAGCTGCTTGGCTGGCAGGGCCACGTGTCCTTGGGACCTCCCGTCAGTGACGATGATGAGGACCTGGGGCACAGAGGCGTTTCTGCCCCCAGGGAACCCTCTGCGCAGGAAATATTTCAGAGCGAGGCCTGTCTCTGTGGGTCCTCCTCTGAGCTCACCCGGGAGGGAAGAAGCAAAGGTGACATTGGCAGGCAGCCTGAAACAGTGGCTCCTCCGTTAGCAGTGACGGCCAGGTTCTCCTGGCAGAGAGGCTCAAAGTGGTAATTCCACCATGAGAGATGGACTTTCTCACTCTCTAAACCACAATGATGATGAATAGAAATGAACTTCTCCTGTGATCTGAAGACACACCCCACCCAGCTCTGTGGTTTAGGTGATGTCACCCTTCGGGTCATCCCCAATGATGGCTCTGGGCTGACAACTCCCATGGTCTGTCTAACACCCACCTCCCATCTCCCCGGCCATGTATCATTCCCATTTGTTATGGCTCAACATCTCCCTGGGGTGGGCGAGCAGGTAACAGAGCTCAGTAAGAACCCCTGAGAGTGAAGGACAGGGCTTTACTGCAAGGGTCCGATGGGGTCCTTTCCACAATCGGACCGTCCTGGCCCACTTCTAGGTTCAGGGTCAGGAGGTGGGAGGCTGAACTGCTTGACTGCTTCCAGAGCAGGGCAGGTGACAATGTCCCATCTCACTGGGATGCTAGGATTCTGGGGCCTTACATCCCAGTTACAGGGACTGTCGATGGGCTTGGAATCCCAGCGCAGAATCTCTACTACATCTCACAATAGCAGTCCTCAGAAGGAGGCCTGCCGGCTCTCAGTGTCAACTGGGCAGATAATCATGACTCACAACAATGGATTTTAGGCCAACTTTCAGGGAATGGTAACACATCCAAACATGAGCAATTATTAACTCCATGCACAGAGGAAATCCTATTAGATCATTCCGAAACGCTAGCCTACAGACTACGGCAGGGGCACGTCTATACTCATTAAAGTCTGAGTATAAATTAAGGCAGTGCCTGCCTTTAATTCAGCCCTCTCAGAGGAGCCTAAGGCCGTTCTCCTAAGGTGAAAATACCCAACTAGTCTGCCATGAATCTTCCTGCCCAGGCATCTCTCCAGGTTTGCTCTCCTCCCAGCAGCTACTCACTGATCTAGGCTCCTTTCCTTTCGTGGCTTCCCCTTCCTCTCAGTCCTCAAAGTCCTCTCCACTCAGCACAGAGGTGAGGAAAGAGCATGGAAGCCTGTGCTTGGGGAGGATTTATGAACTACACCTAGAAGATTCTTCACTTTATTGCTGCTTTCTGTCATCTGTGAGCTCTTAAAAGGCAATTCTCTTTGTGGAGCTCCATTAAGTTAATGAATGTCAACCAGAGTGGACAATTCCTAGAACTAAGACTTAGTCTACAACAGATCAGGATCTGTGTCAATTAAAAAGCTGCTTACTGTTTTCAGGGCCCCCTGTACGGCCCCCAAAGTTCCTGCTGTGCCCAGTGAGGGGGTTTGGGCTTATTGAGAGCACTGGTGGACCTACAGGAAGGAGCCTGTGACTGGAAAAAGGACCTCAGCGCTCAGGGCCTCTGTGACTGGAGGTGACACCTAAAAATTGCTGAGAGCACATATTGCAGTGGACACTAGTGCAAGGGGCAGCAGAGACCAGAGTGACAAGTGGCAAGTTCAGGACATTCTTTTGTGAGGGACCTATAAAAAGTATTATGTGTAAGTATGTGTGTATAACACATTCATATATAGAGAAGTATATGTTTACGTGCTTCTGTAATATACACATAAAAGTATTTACACAAGAAATATATGTATGTACACATGTGCATATATACACGTCATATACACACACACAGCAGCTGACTGGTAATGTGAGTAAAGTTATGGCCCCACGACACGCATCCATTTATAGGGTGTGCATGTGTACCAGCACATGGACAGCTATTCATCATTTCAAAGCACTCTCACTACAGAGGAGCACTGGCTCTCTTTAGAGACCACAGACACGAGGCTTCAAGAAGTGTGGTGGACTCTCCGCGCTGTGGCAGTCACCAGGGCCAGTGTTCTTCCCAACACCTGCTCTTAATTCCAGTCTTGACCTTCGCTGGTTCTTTCTCCCAGGTAACTGACAACTACACATAATAGCAGCAAATATTTTTTTAACTCGCATGTCAGGTCTCACCTGGAACATCATAGGGTAATAGGGGCAGCCTCGAGAAGGGAACGCTCATTACCCACTAAGCACAGTTGGGATTCTGGACACTGCAGCCCTCTCTTGGAGGCCAAGGGCAGGGCCAAACCCTTAAGGGTGACTTTAAGAGCAGCCAGCCGCATCCCAACCAGGGCAGAATCTGAGCATACATACTTGAAAACCATGCTCTTGAGTTTTGTCTTCACTTCCTGTTGGGTTGACAAGGAGTCCAAGGGGAATTCCAGCCACGGAGCAGAACTGAACTGGGCCGCTCCCACCCTGACCTGCAGGAGGACACAGGCCCGGAGTTGAGAGCGGGGTCAAGTCACAAACATTCCTAAGAGGGGAGGTAGCATGAGAAAGGTTAACGACCCTGCCTCCCGCCCGCTCAACAAAGTCCAGTGTCAGAGCTTTCTCTGGTCTCCTTAAGAAGAGGTTCCAAAGCCCAGAAGGTTCTGGAAGGAAAGAGTCAAGTCTGCCTGTATTCTGCACTGACAACCAGCCCTTCAGTTCTCTCCATCCCCTCGCTGCGGTGCGAGCATCTTCAGGGCGGGGTCTCTGCTCACACTTACGAGTGCCTGCCGGGGGCACGCACTGTTTTAAGCAATCTCACATTACTTCATTTAATCCAGAGGCACTATTCAGACCCACATTACTGTGGGAGACACTAAAATGCAGAGAGGACACAGATCTGGCCCCGGGTGAGTGAGAAAGGGGGGCAGGCCGCTGGACTTAGTGTCTGTGATCTTCGCAAGGCTCAGCTCTACTGCTCGCCTTCTCGGCGGCCGGTCACAGGCCTTCAGCCAAACGCTCGCGGAGCCGGCCAGGGGCGTCGCAGAAGCTAACCGCAGCCACCATCCCTGCTGGCTCATCACTGACCACAGCCACCGCGCACCCACCCGTGGTTACAGAGACCCTGCCCTAAAGGTGCCATGCTAGGGAAAGGCCAGCTACGTGATTTGGGGACAACTGGGGAAACCTGCAAAGGAATAAGGGTACATTGCAAGGAGCGGAACTGAACTGGGCATAAAAATTCTAGAAAAAAACTTGGGAGAGCTCCTTTAAAACCTCAAAGTAGAAAAGACCTTACTATGACTAAAACTCCAGGCGCCATAAAGGAAAGATTGACAAATCTGACTACAGGAAGAAAACTTCTGCAGGGCAACACATTCCATGGTCCAACCAAAAAATGAAGACAAAACAGAATTTGCAACTCAGGTCGGAGACAAAGGGTTAGCTTCCCCAATATATAAAGAGTGTCTAGGAATAGATGTGTAAAAGACTAACAATCCAAAAAAAAAAAAAAAGGGCAAAGGATATGAACAGAGATCACAGAACAGGAAATACAAATGGCTCTTTAATACACGAACAGCTGTTTGAAGGGACCACACTGAGGAACAGCAAAAAGCCAGATACAGTGTTTGCAAGGGGTACACAGCATTCTCAAACTTTAAGGGTAAGAACATAAATGTTACAGTATCCATGGGAGCAATTTGTTGTCAGTATTTATTGAAAATTATAAATGCATAACACTATTGGGAATTCATCCTACAGATATACTTCCACATGTGCAAATGACATATTTTCAAGCTCACAGTATATTTGTAACAGCAAATGGCCATCAACAGGGGGTTGGTTAACTAAACATTGGTAAATCCTTACATTGGAGCATGAATCCGCTATAAAAGATAACATATATCTACATTATACCTATATCACCTAGATACCTAGTTATGGAAAGACTTTCAAGACAATGTGGAGAGAAGCAGGCAAGGGACAAGACAGTGTGTATCACTTGCAACTTTGTATAAAAGGGGAGGGAAAAAGATCACAAACTCATCTTGCCCACATCTGCATGAAAGGACTCTGTAAGGATGCTCGAGGAAGCAGGCGGGGGACCGAGCAAATGGAAAGTGTGTGGGTAGGAGGGACACTTTTCACGAGATGTCTTTTCATTGAACCATGAGAACGAATTACTTAGTTTAAAAAGAAGCCTCCCTTGAGACCAACAGCTGGGTGTATTTACTTGAATTAAACAGGAAGGATACAACTTCAAAACAAAACCAGATACAAGCAGCCTGAGTCAGTAGTTGAGGCATCTAATTTAATTGGCGGTTTGGGAGCAAAAGAGCTGCCTTTTATCTCCAGTTTACTGTATGCTCAGAAGCCAGCCCGCCCAGACTTCTCACCTCCCTGCTGAGATCATTATATTAGAGCCAGGAAGTGAACGTCTCAGCTTGCTGCTTTTTTTTTTTTTAACTTCTCAGCTTTTAAATATTGAGAGGAAGACTTCAAACACCTTAAATCCACCTCAACAACAGAGCATCCATAAAAGCCTTAATTTATAGCGACTTGAAAATTTCTTCCTGAAAACTGAAGCTATAGAAAGTAAGATCTCCTGTATATGGAGATAACAAGGAGACATCAACTCTTTTGTACGTGGACATAAGAAGACTACAAAAATGTAGCAGCAAGAACACAAAACCTGAAGCCAACTCAGGTGGAACCGCCTGAAATCACCCTGATTTGGAAAACCCTTCACTAGTGACCCAGCAAGTTGGACAGAGTGCCCGAGGTCGCGATGCTCACGCGCTCACTGAGACAGACACCCGAGCCCTGCGCGCAAGTCTGGCTGTGAGAAAGTTTCTCTCGGGCCAAGCTCATGTATTATTTCCCTACACACACAGCTTCTGCCCTCTTAGGAAAATGGAGCCACTGTGTACCTCTTTCATCTAAAAATGATAATCAGGTTCCCTCATATGGAAATGTCCAGGCCTCTCACTGTTCCACTCTTTGTTGTGGCCACTGTCTGATTTGCCAACACCTAACCTAAGAAGACCACGTTCTAGAGGTGGCCTGCAACACTGAACTCTGGGGCCCTGTGGATTGGCACAGCTACTCCCCAAAACTCGGGTGGGCCATGGAGTTTTTCATTTCTCTTTGAGAATCCTGAATTCCATCAGCACCCTTCACTTACACACACACACACACACACACACACACACACACACAATGCCATGTTGTCCACTTCCTATATGACAGCAGGGTGTGAAGTCACCTCATCCTAGCCCAATGGGTAGGGACAAATGACACCTAATGAAACAAATCCTAAGCTGATAGTCAGAAGCCCCAGTTCTTCCACATTTAGCTCTCTTCTAAGATTGCTGTGTGACCCTAGGCAGTCACTTAGCCTCTCTGAGCCTGTTTCCTCATCTGTCAACATTCCTGAACAGTTCTTCTCTCCCAACTTGCCATCCGCTGGGATCTTTTGGCCACCCACTTCAGGACATGCTACATCAATGCCAAGGTCAACGGTGTTGGATCTTTATGGCTCTTCCTCCATGAATAACTAGTGAAATTTTATAGGGAATCATTTCCTTTTAACAGCAGAGCCCTGTGTGGAAGAGGGTGGAGACTGAGCAGTCCTTGGCCCTGTCCCCTTTAGGGTCTGTGTTGGGCTGACTGCACAGTGGGAACTTCTGGGCTGCCCTGCTATGGTGTCTTCAAATAGCTATGCAAGACTGCCTGGGGTCCAGGGTAATGGCTCACTCTCCCAAAACAACATGCCATTCTGGAGAAAATCTGGTCCCCATGAAAGGCCACTTTTGCTCCTAAATCCTAGTGGTTTTCCTGGAACCCAGGAATGTCATCTTGGAAAACCATCGTTGGGAGTGTATTTAGAACAAATTGCTGAGTTAAAGGGTCCAAGCCTTTGTAACTCTGATGGACACTGTTGGATTCCCCCTTAGAGAGGCTGCATGCTCCCACCAGCGGTGTGTGAGAAGGTCAGTTTCCCGGAGACGTGCCAATGGAACATGTCACCAAAGTTAGGATTTTTTCTAATCCAGTAGATGAAACATGGTGTATCCGTCAGAGACTTGCTATTACATTGAGTGAGGTGGTTGGGCATCTTTGCAAATGTCCAAGGGCACTTTGTGTTTTGTTTTCTGGGAACTGTCTGTATATGTTCACAGCCCATTTTTCTACCAAGTTATTCCAAAGTACCCCTTCTTCTAGCCACAAGAGCCATAGCTAGCACATTCTGCTGATATTTCAAACCTACTATCTGGAGCCAGGAAGAACAAGAAATGGACACACTGGCTGGATCACGCAGGCAGGAACAGTTGCTTTCATGTGAACAGAGAGGGTAGGAGCTGTAATTCGTATTGAGATTCTAGTCTCAGGAGGTAGTTACACACTTTCCCTTGCCCACTGTTGTGCAAACACAACATCTTTCTAATGGGAAACCAAATCCACACATTTACCACCACCCATGAACATGGACAAGCACATGCCTCAGGTCTAGTCACACAATCTCTTCCCTTGAACTACTGTGATTGGTTAAGAGATTGTCATGTGACCTACACCTGCCCAATCGGAGCCTTCCCCGGGACTGTTGCCAGATGGAGAGAAGAAATCCACTTTCTTTTTACTGGTGTCACCAGCTTGAAGGGCGATGCAGGGCCACTTTGCTATGTGTGGAAAACCTGCCTGGGATGAAGCCAACCATAGAGAGCAAAACTGAAAGAAGAGAGATTGAGCCCTTGGAGCCCACCGTGCCTGGAACCACAATTCACCCCCTTAGTCTTCCTACTTCCAGGAGCCAGTAAATTCCCTCTTCCGCTTAAGACTGGATTTCTGTCTCTTGCAACCAAAGACACCCTAAATACAAAGAGAGCAAGACTTGCACTCACCTTCTCAGGGTTGATGTCCAGAGCGTTGCAGACTGTGATGGCAAAGTGCTTGGCTCTCTCAAAGCTCCCTTTCCCGATGCTGTAAGAGCCATCTATCAGAAACAGGACATCCAGCGCAGCTGAGCACCACATGACTGGGGAGAGGGGGACAGATGGGTGAATCAGCTTCATATAATTCACCCACTGAAAGTGCATAACTCAATGGTTTTTAGTATACTCACAAATACATTCCATCATCACCTCTGCCAGTTTTAGAACCTTCTCTGCCACCTCAGAAACCCTGTACCCCGCAGCTCTCGGCCCCTCACCCCACTCCTAAGTACCTGTGATGTTTGAGGAAAGCAGGGCCCAGTCACAGCCCTTAGGACAAAGTGCTAGGAAGCAGTGGAGCCAGGAATCAAGCCCAGGCTGCGGGGCTGCAGAGTTCAAGCCCGCCTCCCCGTGAAGACGCCAGGACAGTGGAAGGAAGACAGGCCCCGGTGACAGGGCGCCACCCAGAAGGCAGCACACCGAGGGGATTTCACTGGAGACCGGGGAAGGGATGTGCCAGCCCTGGGAGCAGGCTGCTTGGGCTTGAGCACCGGAGGGGTGCTGAGTGGGGCAGAAGAGAGGGAATCGGGAGGGAGACGAGGCTGGGTGCGTGGACGGCGGTCGCCAAAGTCGGCCTTGAAGCGTAGGCCACGACATCTGGCGACAGGTGAAATAAGTTGGTCAGGGAAAGACAAATGCCATGTGGTTTCATTTATATGTGGAATCTAAAGAACCAAATAAATGAACAAACCAAAAAGAAACAGGCTTATAGATACATGGAACAGACTGGTGGGTGCCGGAGGGGAGGGGGTTAGCGGGGAGTGGATAAAGAAGTTGAAGGGATTAAAGAATATGTATGCATAAGCCGTGGACATACACAATAGTGTGATGAAGGCCAATGGAGGGAGAGGCGGGGATAGGGGGGAAGTCTGCAATAATATCAACATTAAAAAATTTTAATAAAAAATAGGTAATGCATGTGTTAGTCTATGATGTAATATATACATTTGTAAATGCTACTAGCAAAATCTGTCTGGCATAGTATAGTTTTTAAAAAGTCACCTTTATATTTACAAATATCCAAATACTATATCTAATCCTGTGGATACTAAATATTAGACATCCTATCTTTAAAGTTAAATTCTTTTAGTCTCTTTTAATTCTTTCAGTTGTGAAGAGTGCTTTGTTCACATAAACGCCATCAGGAGTACAAAGCCTTCAGCCTGGGCCTTGTGGACCCAGTGAGCAGCTTCACTCTTCAGTGGGGACCACAAAGGGGAACTTGCATGTACCCATGCCAGCCTAAGATAAAAATNGAGGGGAAGGGGTTGACAAGTCCAGATGGGAAGTCACAGGACAGTCACGGGAGGCAGAGCCCAGCACAGGGAATACAGTCAGGAGCACTGTAATAACCATGTAGGGGGCCAGGTGGGAGCTGGAAATATCGGGGGACCACTTTGTAAAGTACATGGTTGTCTGACCACCATGCTGTACACCTGAAACCAATACGAAATAATACTGAAAGGAAACTGTAATTGAAAAATAATAAATATAAAAAAATTTTTTTAAAGAAATTTGGCAACAGGGATTTACTAAGGGTTTTTATTCAAGAGAGGGACTTGGTTGGGCCCGTTTCAGGGGCATGAATAGAAAATGGGAGTGGGGTGGAAACTGCCTGGAGTAACATGGTTTCCCTTGGGTCCGTCCCAAAGAGGCTGAGAGGGCTGAATAAAACATGGGCTTACTTTTGCTGGCGGCTGCAATCTTCCCAAGGGTCTCCCTGCTCACGTGGACTTCCTGGAGAGGGAGGCAGGCCGGCGCTGGGGGAGAAGACACCAGAAGCCGTCATTACACGGCAGAGCGGAGGGGCCTCGGTCTACAGTGTGCGACCAGAGCAAACAGGCGGTAAGAAAGAAAACAGGAGCGTGGAGGCGTTTAATGATACTGTACCTCAAAAATTACTAGATGGATAGCAGAAAGGAACCCCCAATTACCTCTCTGGATCAAGTACCTTTGTATTTAATTTCGAAGAGAAAAATTAAAAATATACACAGAGGCTCTAGAGAGAGCCTGTGATTCAGAGTTTTGCCCTGGCGCGAACTACTAACCGAGACCTCTGCTCATCGCCACAGAAGTTAACCTGGGATGGGAACAAATAACTCAGAAAAGAGAGAATTCACAGAAAAGCACATGAGCACCGAGCAGACGCCGTGTCCGTGCGAGGCGCTGAGGTTGCACAGAAGTGCGGAAAGAATGTGCAGTCCCTTTCTCATGGAGCTTATATCTGGTGGAGATGGACACTAATTTTTAAAAACTCACACAGAAATAAATTCGTATCTGTGTTAAACGCTATAGAGCAGAGGGACCAAAGCTACAGGAAGTTTTAACAGGGGGATCTGACCTGACCTGGGGGTTCAGGAGGACGGCAGGGTGCTGAAGGATGGGTAGTTGACCAGGGTGGCAGTGCTGGGGTAACGCAGTGATCCGGGCACAGGGGCCGCCGTCACTGAGAATTCCTAGGGCAGGAGGCAGCAAGGGTGCTGGGCAGGCAGGGCCATGGGCTGCAGCACAAAGGGGCGCAGAGGGGAGGAAGGTGGCTACGGGGTCCGACCAGGCAGGGCCTCCGAGAGCAACGGGCCATGACTGAAAAGTTTCAGGCAGGGGGTGGAGGTGGAAAGGGATCCAGACATGATCAGATTTGCATTTTGAAAAGGCTGCTGTGCAGAGAGCGGGCTGGAGATCCCAGGGAGGCCAGTCAGGAGGCTACTGCAACAGTCCGAGCCTGAGGTGATGGGGCAGACCAGGTGGGTGGCCGTGAAGTGGAGACACAGATGCATTCAAGGGACCTCTTGACGTTACAACTGACAGGATATGAGACAAACCAAACTGCTCAACACCTTACCCCAGCCCCAAACACCACAAAAACTTACCTCCAGCAAACAAGAAAATGCAGATGGCCTCCAGCAACAGAACAGAGGGCATGTTGAGACGACTACAGGGCCAGCACAAGAAAAAAAGCAACAACAGTCATCTCCATGAGCTCCCCAAGTCACACACCCAAACCAGATGACAGCTCNACAGTCATCTCCGTGAGCTCCTCAAGTCACACACCCAAACCAGATGACAACGTCCCAGCCTCCCCAGGGCATCAGTATGACCCTAGAGGCCCCTCCTCACATAGAAACTACAGTAGCCTGGAGGAGACCCAATTCCCAAGAGCCACGGGAGACTATTCCAGTGACTTTGACTTTCAAGAACGGTTTAACATCTTTCTACACCGCCCCCCCCTCCCAGCTCCTTCTCGGACTTGGGCAAGGAGCAAGCCCTATGTCCAGGATGGAGAGACGGGGTCCTGGCGTGAAGATTTGATTTCAGTCTAGTATCTGTATTTTATGAAACCTGGCACAGTCATCAAGCCTGCGCTTTCTAAACAGCTTATTTATAAACAGCAATGTGGCTGGGGAAGAAACAAATTTAAGGTTTTTTATTGCCTGATAATGCTTATAGGATGGGTGAACATTCAGTTCTATGGAGCCTGATTATTGATCGATTTTTGAGGGAAGTATTAGCAGGAAAAGTGAGAACTTTTAATAAGACACTGACTGTCACACTGATTCCACAGGGCACACACCTGAGCGCACTTCTGATTTTAGCTGCCAGGCCTAGGAAGTGTATCAGTATCTTTTCAATCACAGGCCAGATACTTCTAGATCAATCCTTGTGCTCACTGCATTCATTTTTGTAGCAAGATAAATGAAACGGATGTTATTTCGACGCTGGTGAAGTACTAATAGTACTCTTTACTCACTGTTCCCACCCCATCATTTCAAACACTCAGTTTCTTCTCCCTTCCTCACATATCAAAACTTTCTTGAAATACCAATTCAACATTCTAAATACAACCTGTATCTAAAAACTTTTTTAAAAGAATGAATTTCACAGTACAACTCAACAGCTACTACCATCAAGTGAGTGTTTACTGCGTGCCTGCTGCCGGGCTCCATACTTTTGGGTCTTCTCTCCTAATCCACACAGCCAGCCAGTAAGAGCAGTATTTCCATTTTACAGATGAGAAAACAGGCGTGGAGAAGTTAAGTGTTTTGCCCCAGGTTAAACAGCGAATAAGAGGATCCGTCTCCACTCTGGCCTCTGGTTCAACCCATCACCTTCCTGATTCTGGGGAACCAGGAGAGAGGAACAGAAGTATAACTAAAAGTCTGCCACCCCAAACCCTGCCCTTTGGCAGTTTTCTACCTGGCTAATAACCTGCCAGCAACTCCCACACTGGAGCACAGGAGAAGATTCCCAGAGCTCTCTGCATTCTTCCACAGCGTAGTCAGGGGCAGTCTGCAGCCCAGGGGTGGAAGGGGCCCGTGCCTCCCAGGTGCACCTCGTAAGGCCTTCTCCGTTACCAAACGCCTCGCCTCTGTCATCACGTTTGTTTCTTTCTGTTCCANCTAAATACAACCTGTATCTAAAAACTTTTTTAAAAGAATGAATTTCACAGTACAACTCAACAGCTACTACCATCAAGTAGAAGTCTCCGGCCAGGAAGCCACTGGTGTCTTTTGACTCATGCTGATCCCATGCACCAGTCCTGGCTTCTGGGACTCTCACACATGGGCTCAGATGCCCCCCCACCCCCACCCCATGCCCCAATCTTCTCGTCTGTTGTTTGCAAATCTTGGTTCCACATGACATGGGTGGCATTTGGGGACAGCAGGTGAGTGGGGTTGCTGCAGGGCACCATAAAACATTGCACCCTGGGATTACATTTCCCACTACACAGGAAGAAACCAAGGCCAAAACAAGGCTGCTTTTGAAAAAGAAGGGGGGACAGGCGATAGCTCAAGGCAGTCTTGCAGGACAATGCCTGCCTTCTCCTCTATGACTGGAAATGAAATGAGTGCAGGGCGAAAAAAGAAACCACTTCCACCTCCTTACAAAATGCAATTTCAACCCTGAATATTAGATTAGCCCGTGGCAGCCTCCCCTGGCTGGGATAGAAACCTGAGCCCTTTACAAGAACAGGTAACACCTGAACAGGAAGACTAAAATCGAACAGGAAGACTAAAACCCAAGGTAGAAGTCTCCGGCCAGGAAGCCACTGGTGTCTTTTGCTGTAACAATCATCTTTCTTGTCCATCTGGCAAAACACCTGGCTCAGAGTCTAGGGAAGTGGACAGCACATTTCTAGTGTGATGAGGCAGGGAAAGCATCTGAAAAGCTGCTCGGGGAAAGGCCTGCTCCCCCTAAAAGAATCGCAAATTTTCAGAACCCAACAGTTCGACAACCAGAAGTCAGCACCCAGGGGCAATGTGCTGTTTGGATTCTCTGGATGGTTGCAGAGAAAGCTGGGCAGACGGGCATAACTCTCAGAGCCTCCTACACTCACCCCACCTGCTAAGATGTATTTTTAGCCAAAAGAGATTTTAATGACTGTTTTGATGATCTTTGAAAATCCCTTAAGTGTACAAGACCCAAATTCACTTCCTTGGGACTCTGGGAAGCACACACACAGGGCCAGAAGTCCAGAGACAGAATTCCAGCCTAGCTCTGCTTAGAATCAGCTGGGAGACTGCAAACAACTTCCCTTGCCTCGGTGCATTCGGCTGTCAAACGGGAGGATCTCAGTGGTGTAAAAATCCTATGAAATAGAGCGTGAACATCCCTCCGAATGGTAAAACACTTCCTAAATGTACAAGGATAAAAGATGATCATTACATATATTAATTTCATATAACAACAGTCATGCCTCCACAGGGTAGGCATGATCATCTCCATTTTTATACATGAAAATGGTTTTGGAGAAGTTGGGGCCTGAGGTCCCAGAGCTAGCAAACCACAAGCTTGAAGCCAAGCCCAGGTCTTCTGACTGCGGGCACCTCAGCTGTGACAAGAAGGGTACAGCACAGAGATGACATGCAAAGCACACTAATGAAACATCAGGACACGAACATGAACCCATCCAGTCAATTCCTTCACTTCAATCTCAGTTTCCTATTTGCCTGGAAAGGTGGTTGCCAGGATTGCATGAGACCACAATTCAAAAGCCCCCTGGGCAAGGGCAAAGTTTTCTTGATGGAGACCAGGGAACTCCAGTTCAAGAGAAGGGACTCGGGGTCAGGAAAGGGCGTGAGGCTCAAAGATAGGAATCGTGGTCAGGGAAGCCCTGCAGGTAATTCCGCAGGTGGAGCATAAGCAGTCTGCAGCTGATTAGAAGATAAAAGGGTAAACTGAAGGAAGAACTTCAAGTGTATTCAGCTGTCCCAGGGAGCTGGCTTGGGGTGATGCTGAAGTGGGGGTGTTGGCCGGACAGACCCTCCCTTGTGCAGGGTCCCCAAGAGACCCCCAACAGCCTTATAGATGATGGGAGGCATTTATTATTTTTTTAAATAATCTTGTGAGATAAAATACAAAATTAGCCATCTGCAACTAAACACAGAATACTGAATATAAACTGTAATTGAAAAAAATTAAAAAGAATTAGCTATTTTGTTACACTCCTCCCAATTAAAACAACTTTTTTACTGACATGGGAAATATGAAAGTTTGAGGACACTGTTCTAAAACACCTCATAGCATTGCTGACCCTTTCACCGATATACGAAATTTCATTTATTCAATAAAAACTATTAGGCATCTTGCCTGTGCCCAGCACCCTCCCAGGTGTTGGAGATGCAGTGAAAATGCAAACCTGGTGGGAACATTCTTAAAAGGTTTTTATACTTGCACCAGTAGTTCATTCCCAATGTCACCACCTGCCAATTAATGGCTGTGCCGTTTATGAAGCTCATTAAAAACCCAGGAGTCTGGGTTCCTCGAAGGCTTTCGTATCTGTCCTCGGGCAGTCTTCTCCCACCCTCTCTGGGTCTGTTCCCTCATCTGCAAACACATGGGCCATGTGGCAATAATTCATTCCAGGGGACCCAAGTCCATTGGCAGGGGAGAGGAAATAGCTACTTTAAGCTCTGGAGGGCCAACCGAAAACCAGATGCAAAGAAAAACATGTCACTGATGGCCTTCAAACAGGCAGGTGTGATGAAGGAAGGAATTCCCCTCTCCCCCTGGGATGTGCCTGGGGACTAGTCTGGGAAATTCTTAGTCAGAGATGGCTCCGAGCTGGGTTTCTACAAAAGAAGAGAGTGGGCCGAGTGGGCCATAGCCCGCCTGAAAAGGGGCTCAGAGGTGCTCTGTACCCCCGTCAGCCAAGAAGAGAATGGCTGCAGGCTGCTGAAGGCTGGCAGCGTTTACAAACAGGCCGTGGCCACGGCCACGTGCAGCGCTCCCTCTCACTTTCCTGACCTGTTGCTCCTCTGACTCTTTTCTCAATAAATGCACACTTCTTAATGCAGTGTCACCCTGGAAGCCGAACAGAGCTTAGGCGTTCAGACCTCAACTTATAAAACATTTAGAGGCTCTAGGGTTTTTGTTTGTCGTTGTTTTTTAAATTAAAAGACCTCACACTTTGAACATTGGAAGGTTCCAATTATTCCGTTCCAAGCTGCCAAACACATGGCCAAGGGCTCTGCCCTGGGCCTGGGAGCAGAAAGTAGGGCGGGGTCAGGCGGTGATGGTGGTGGGGTGTCCAGCATGACCCCCCTGGCCTTCCCATCGCCCAAAGGCCCCGAGTCTGTCTCTCAGGGGCAGCGGGCCCCGCTAGGGCTCTGCTTGCAGAGG